CTACTGCTGTCCATCCCACACAGTGACCTACTCGTACGTCCGTTAATTCAGCACCTCCGGGATTCTTCCTTCCACAAATATTCTGTATTTAACTATCCCTTTGTCGCCCCATGCAGGACTACCCTAAACTCAGTCAATCGTTCTACTCCCTGCTGGAGGTTCTGACGCAGGACCACATGAACTTCATTGCCAGTCTGGAGCCTCACGTTGTTATGTATATCTTGTCCTCGATATCAGAAGGACTGACGGCACTCGGTGAGAACACGAACTCCAAACATCAGCGTTTGTTACACATCCAACCGTAATAACAGGGTTTCAGCAGCTGCAGACTGCTTAGGTGTGCCTTAATGGACAGTTATAGTCTGCCTGTTACTGTATCCTAGATAATAAACATTGTGTTGTCTCAGTCTACTGGGTGGCGCTCAGTTTGTCAATAAACAACATCAGGGGTTATTATAGCCAATGAGTGTTTAACGCTGCTGAAGTTGGCTTCATTTTGATAATGGCACGTTGGTGATACCTGCGTGTGTGGTGTGTTTTTTTTTTTGTACATCTCAAGCTCTCTGTCTGTGCCTGTGTGTGTGTCTCGTGAATATAAACATGATATGTCAACTAAAGACGAGGGATCAGTGGGGATGGGTGAGGCACTGGGATGACCTGACCACATTGTGTGTGTTTCAGATACGATGGTGTGCACGGGCTGCTGCTCCAGTCTGGACCACATCGTGACCTATCTGTTCAAACAGGTGTCCCGATCAACAAAGAAGCGTCCGGCTCCCATGGCAACAGACGATCGCTTCCTGCACATCATGCAGCAGCACCCGGAGATGATCCAGCAGGTGAGACCTTTCTTCTCGGCTCACACTGGAAGTCATACATAGTCATCGTTTATTTGACATGGTTGTGAATTTGATATTTGATTTGATATTTTTTTCGTCTGTGCAGATGTTGTCCACTGTTCTAAACATCATTATTTTCGAGGATTGTAGAAACCAGTGGTCGATGTCACGGCCGCTGTTAGGCCTCATCCTGCTCAACGAAAAGGTAAAACACGGAGTTGTCATTGACCTGAGATTGTTTGTTTAATCTGCAGCGGACCGTTTAAATTTGACGCCACTGGACATATCTAGGTAGAGAGAGTATGTGTCCTTAAATCCTTTGGAATAACAATCAGTAAACGACAGTGATATCATGTTGTTTTTTGTCTGTTAATATTTAGACACAAGCTAGAGTTTCAAGTAGTAATATTAAAGACAATTCTGTTGTGTAGACTCATTGTTTATAAAATGTATGTTCTACTGTGTGCATTTGTGAACAAACGTGTGTGTTGATGTCCTGCAGTACTTTGCTGACCTGAGGAACAGTATCGTCAACAGTCAGCCTCCAGAGAAGCAGCAGGCCATGCACTTGTGTTTTGAGAACCTGATGGAGGGAATCGAGAGGAACCTTCTGACCAAGAACCGTGACAGGTACGTCAAAATAACCTTTGTGGACGTCAAGAGTGACATTGTTATCATAATGGATACAGATGGAAGGTGAGCTTTCAGCTCAGGACCGGGACTGAAACACATTTGTTTTATTACGTAATTGCAGGCCAAAAAAAAAATCAATCACATCTTTCTTTGTTCCCTAATTTCTGACGTACAGGTAACACTGATACACTGGTATACGTGCCAGTAAGGAACCTCAAGTTCATTAGTGAGGGATGACAGTTAGTTAGTTATTCGTCTATCATATGAATATAATGTACTCTGACTTTGTGTTTTTACTGTGTGATCACCCTCAGGTTCACTCAGAACTTGTCGGTGTTCCGACGGGAAGTCAACGACAGCATGAAGAACTCGACGTACGGCGTCAACAGCAACGACATGATGAGCTGACATTCCACACCGAACAATCCCCCCCGTACCGCAGATGGGGGCCTGCCCCCTCCTTCACCTTTCTCCTCCCCCTCTTTGCATCAGCCTGGTCCCACTTTCTTTACCCCTCCTTGGGCCCGGATGCCCAGGGGAAAATCGCCTTTTCCACCTCCTGCTCCTCACCAACATACATGACTTACGGGAATGTTGTTGGTCACATTCAGCGAAGTGCCCGGCCCCCGCCCAGCCCAGCCCAGCCCACTCGCTGCCTCTCTCCTTTCCTCTTTGTTCCTTTTTTGATATAAGCATATATAAATATATACAGATCTATTTTAAAGCCAGTCTGACTGTCGAACAGAGGGGGGCGCATGTGCGAGCGTTCGCAGCGGAGGGAGGGGTTGGTGGGAGGGAGGGATTGGGCATAGTCAGATGAGGACCGCCGGTAAATGTAGTAATCTGCTTCTGCCCGCCTTGTATAGACAAACACACAGGAAACATAATTAAAAAAACACGTGTACATTTTTTTCCTAACATTTTGAACAATGTTTATAAAAAGATTGAATTTAAAAAAACAAAAAACAGGTGAGTGGAGGGAAAAAAGAAAAATGTCCAGAAGCGTGTGATTGAGCTTTTTACAGTGTAGTGCGTTAGAGCAACTGTCCGTCTGCGAGAGGGAGAAATGGAGGGAGGAGGGAAGAGGGAGGGGCGTGGCCACAGGTACACACTAACACAAAGGGAGGAGAGGCACAGGAGTAGCAGCCACTGTTGTACATTTTTGTCTCACTCTTCTCGGTGGTGATGTAAATAGTCACATGACCCCTGCCACAGCAGCAGGTGGGCGGGACTTAAAGGGACAGTTCTGTTATTTATCAGGCGATTCACGTCTTCACACGTCTTCTGACTCACCCAACAATCATTGAAATTCACCTGATTTTTGGAAGCTTAAAAATGACACATTGAAGGATTCAGTCAACACCATAACTGTCACATACAGTTTTTTTCCCCCAAGAATACCTTTTGGAAAGCTAAGATCGAGATTGGAACTGTCGTCTAATTGAGTTCACCGTGAGCGCCCCCTGTGCCAAAGGCCAGCATCATGCATGAAGGCAGTGGACACAATATAATTGGCTCAAACATTAAATTTAATGATTTTGGTGTTTTTTTTTTCTCATTGACAAATCCACCAAACAATTTCTTAGTCCTCTGGTGCTTAAAACACTGATTTTCTCAATGGGGTTTGGCGTGGAAGTTTGTTGTTTAAAATGTGAAACAAACTTGAAAAATGTCTATTTTTCTCTGAATTAGGAAAAAGTTGAATACATGTTACTTGGATTAAGGCAGGGGCATCAGGGGGTCAGTAATGCAGCATGAGCTAAGTGGGTGAAGACCTCGGTCTATTGCCAGTGTTTGGTGTGTTGGTTCTGAGCACTATGGGGAGCTCACTGTGGCTGTACGTTGGAAGTATTTCACTTTTTTTTATCAGGAGTTTTCTGTGCTAGCGTGATGGTAAAATCTACCATTTGAGTCAGCTGACAGGGTCTTTATCCTGGAGCCAGGTTGGACACAATGCCATCGTCACTGTTGGCCTCTCTTCCTCCTCAAGTCCAGTCGAACCTGAGATCCACAGGAAGCTGTGGCTCTCATGTTCTCACATTTGCTCAATTCCCAGCAGCGATCAACGTGTAAACAACATGGGCACAGCTACATTTTCCCCTCTGGTAGGCTGGTGTGCAGTTCCCAACATTTTGTTTACACTCCTGATTCCTCGGACCAGGTTTTGGGACAAGCCCCGCCCCTTTTAGGTCCTGCGGTGGAGTCCATTTGGTGTGTGTGTGTGTGTGTGCGCGCGTTTGTGTGTAAGTGTGTGTGTGATGTGGTGTCCTATGGTGCTTGTGATGGAGCTCAAACAGTCCAGGTCTGTGAACGATGATGATGATGATGATGATGATGATGATGATGGTGGTGATGATGATAATGATGATGATGATTGCGACATGGAATTTCCTGGTTGTATAAGCTCCTCTGAAGGAACCCCAAGAGATTATTGATAGGTCAGTCTATTGATTGATATCAGAAGCAGGAGACGAGTGCATTAGCAACTTTTGTTAATCTCGATGATGTCGCTGCTAACTGTTTGTGACAACTAGCTCATCTCTAACGTGTTGGCGCTCGTGGATGCCTCTTCCTGAGTCCTGATGTTTGTGTTCTGATGTGAATGTGTCGGGTCCATAGAGTGAGTAGCTGTTTGAGTTGTTTGGATGTCTGCTACATATAGTGTCAGCATTGTGACTGCAAATAAACCTCATTGATTTTTAAAACGATGCAGCTCTGTGTTTTTTAAGACACATGGAACTTTTTGTAACGAGATCATGTGCTTCCACATTGGCTGTGTTTACACTGCACGCAAAAGTGTCCCCAATCCTTTTTTTCTGGATGATGTGTATCTGATTTGACAGTGTGAACAGATAATTTGAAGTTTTGAAGTTGCAAAGATTTTATGTTTAATTCTGCTACAATAACAGTGAAAAAACAGTGAAAATGCCCAATAGAATTCCGTGAAAATCCAGACTTTGAATAATCACTGTTGTACTTTGTCAACTCATTCTTCTGGAAGAGTGCTAGTTGAAATTTTCTTTTCCCTCATATGACAGCTCACTAGTCCAGGGGTCACCAACGTGGTGCCCAGGGGCACCTGTTAGCCCCCATGGGCTACCTAAGGTACCCACAGGCTATGTTCTAAAAATATAACTAGTCAACAAGAGGGTCAAAAAGAAGATGTACTGCTACTGTGCTTTTTGAATCAGTTACACCTGCAATGATATTCAAATGGGGGCATTGACGATGGTAAGAAGAGTGTCTGCTATTGTACAGTATGTCCCAGAACTAATTATTATTACATCGTTTGTGAAGTCTGTATTAAACAGGTAGCTCTCTGTACTACTAAGTGCCCTTGAAGTAGCCCCCTAGTTTCAAAAAGGTTGGTGACCCCCGCATTAGAGTGTTCTGCCGCCCCCTGGAGGGGTGGCACTTCACTTTGAGAACAGCTGGTAGTTTTCTTTGTAACAGGCAGTGCTTGCATATGGTCTAACGAACGTAATCTTTCTTTTAGTGCATGAGTGCTAGCGATTGTTATTGTTTTTTTAACTATTAAATTGAATCGAAACCCTTTTTACTCTATACTGTTTAAGAGTCTAATTTAGTCGAGTAGGGAGAAGTAAATTCCAGCCAAAGACCGATGAGACTGTCTCCATCTGGTGGACTAAAGGTAGAACTGCATTCTCGACGGTTGAGAACTTGACGCCTTATATTAGTCATTTAACCAGTATTGTTAGGTTGAAAAACTAAACAATCACAGTCTGATAAAATGACTTTATTGGTTCCTAATGATGTAATAAACCCACCAACCAACAACCATTATGATTGACACGTTCACATTTTCCAGCGAATAACCAAAGACATGAGGCTGTCTTCCACAGAATGTGTTGTATATCTTCAATCAAAAGTTCATATCAAAAGTTTGTATATCTGTAGTTCCAACAGAGATGTGATGATTCCTTGTCGTGTCGTTGATCTTTATTAACTCTTCCCAGATTTGGACTTGTAAACTGCAGTGTTGTAACCTTCTCTGTTTCGGGCAATTTCAATGGCGAAGAACTGGATCCTGGTGGCTGCAGTGCAAATAATGGAAAAGTGATTGAGTTTTAAAGCAACAAAATATAACATAGTAATGTTCAAGACTGTTATTGTGATCTCACCAAAAATGGTATTTTCTTCTGTGTAATCCTTCTCACAGTCCAGACGCAGCAGAGTGCCGTAGTTAAAATCTTCAACTGTACCTTCAAACTTGTTACAGAATGGACGCCACCTCTGGACAAAACGCATAAAATGTTTGTCTTTGTCGTAATCTTTCAACTCTTGCTAATTGTATTTTTGATCTCCAGATGAACTGCGCCGTCTCCACATCTCACCTCCTTTGCCTCGTTAGACTTCACATCGTCTGTGTTCAACACTTTTATGTCCAGATCTTTAAAGGCTTCTCTGAAGGATGAGTAGATATTATCGTCGTGCTTCGTCAGTTTGAGGAATTTTGGATCTACTGATGAGATGAGCTGCAGAAACAACAGTCACATCAGGACAAGCGTTTGCTACAACTTCAGGAACACGCCAGAACTGACATCTTACTAGGTAAAAAAAAAACAGTTCATCTTACATTAAAATAAACTTCTGCATGGTTGTACGCCTTCATGGCCCACATGGCCTCCAGTCGGGACTATGAGGAAACAAAAAAGAAAACAAGTTATTATGTTGCTTTGGCTAATTAAGTAATTAAGGTTAAATGTCCTCTTTTCTAGTAAAGAGAACTAGTTTATGTTGACATATCTGTATCTGTTCTTTCAGGCTGAACATGATGCATTATCTACTGATATTATGTTCACCTTGTGCTCTGTCACCCATTTATTTGGTATTAGTATTATTTTTTTCTATTTTTATAATGCATTTGTTTTACCAGGTTTTGGTTTGTGGGAATAGCGGGGTGCAAAAAGAGTAGGCAGATTTAGACTCAACAAGAGAATTGTTAGAGGGTGGTGGTTCAAATACAACCTACAAAAATCATCCAGGGAGAGAAAATAGAGCAATAGAGAGGGAAACTGAATGCTGAAAACGATTAATTAAACGCTGTCACCTACGTCATTTCCATAGGCTTCTGCAGGTAAAGACAGCGCGTGCGCAGCTGCCGTAGCTCCTTCCACTCCCTGTCAAAATACACACAGAAACATTACAGTATTTGAAATGTCCCTTTAAATATGTGTGAACAACAAGAAATCAGCATGTTTAATCAACTTTAGCGTTTTAACGGCGTTACTGACGTAACACAGCACACTGTAAACACGTGTTTTCGTCACGGCTAACCTGCATTACCAGAGAAGACTAACTTATCCATCAGTAAAAAGTACCGAAGTTTCAGTTATACATATGGTCAAAGTATAGTCTTATATTAAAGAGTCAGTTGTTAAAGATACTCCAGAAAAACGTCACGATACAGAATTAGGGTTGTTTATTTTTATTTCTCACCAGAGAACCGAGCCCGTGATCCGACGCCATTTTGTCAACCAAAGACCGATTACGTCAAGATGCTTCACTCCTACAGTCCTAGATGTAGGTCGCTTTTTACGCGTGCGATTCGGGGTCCTTAAATCCTCAAGGAAATGATTTTTTAAAAAATTTAAAATTAAAATATTATTTTATATTATTAGTTCGTTTAAAAAGGGAACAAAGGACAATAGAAAAAAAATTTAAATTAAAATATTATTTTATATTTTATATATTATTAGTCCGTTTAAAAAGGGAACAAAGGACAATAGTTTTGAAAAATAATCAATTTGTAAAAATGAAGGAGAAAATATGACACCAAAAGTGCACTGTTCCCAAGCCGCCCAAAAAACGAACTGGGTATAATTAATTTAAGTTTTCAAAGTGAAGCGATGTGGGCTAAGGTTAGAGTCAAATGGTTTCATATTTATTTGTAACTATTCAACGTAACCTAGTGAGTTAATGCAATTAAAACAAAAATTTGAAGGCCTTTCAAACAGGAGTGATCTATCTTGTTTTAAATAAAGTGTCTTTGTGTTTAAACCTGACGTCACATCAACGGCCACTATCTAGTTTTTAAAAAAAAAATAGCGTGACGTTTTCTGGTTTATTATTTTATATTTGCCCGAACACATTGTTAGAATTAATATTCATTTAGGTTATTTTTATTTAATCATTTACGAGTTTTAAATTAAGAATAATTTGGTAATTAGGTCTGGTAAATGTGTGTAATGTATCACTAGACTCTGTGATTATATTCGTATAACCCAGCGACTACAACTAGATTAAATATTGGAAATTTTGCAACGTCATAATACTGTAACTCGGAGAAATAAGCCATTAGTGATTGTTCCCTCCGTGGCTTTCTCCTGGGTGGGTGGAGAGGCTGTCACCCAGCTCCTCCTCCTCTGTCTCTTCCTTCTCTCCCTCCTCCTTCAGGCGTCACCGTCTCTCTCCTAGATGTTGATCCCCTCAGAGGCACCTTCTCCGCGGCTGTAGATTATCATCCATCCTTTGCTGTGTGGAGGTAAGAGATATTCGCGCATTTTCTCCGCCAACAATAATAATTAGAAAACGACGAAGCAGAGATAGAAAATAACGGTAACACAATGTACACTGTTTATTTCATCGCCTCTGTATGTTCATGATTGGTGCTTTTATTATGGTGCGGCTGCAGACGCACTTCACCTTCCTCTGATATGGAGGCCATATGATGATGATGATGATGTTCCTTCATCACCATTATTTCACATCAGCTTTTCCTCTGCAGGTTGAAACATGATCAAACATGCTCTAATCTGCGGCAGCAGCAGGAGGAGTCAGTCCTCAGTACGATTTGTTCTGGGAAATATCAAATATACACGAGAACAGTTATGTAGGTCCAGATAAACAACTTAGCTCCAGATCTACGATGGAGGAACCATCGTTTTAGTCAGAAGAGCTGGTCAACGACTGAGGTTTATTATCACTAAGATGTAAAAAAAAAAAAACGAAACTGGACTATATTCAGGACTTTTGCTGTAATCTGATATCAACAGTGTTCAAAACACTTTAATGAATAAGCTCCCAGGATGAGTCAGAACTCCCCGTTTGTTTATTTTTTTGTTGGAATAATCTGTAGGCTGTATTTATTCCCCTTTCATTTGCATGTAACGGCATCATTTTAGTGTAGACATGTTTTTAGTTGAAAATAGGTGCTGTGGATAGCAGCGATGTTAGTGAAATGACTGGGAGCTGATATTAAAGCCCAGAGAAGAAGTCAATTTGGGAGTTTAGCAGGATTAGCTTAGCAAAGACTCTGTGGAAACCGACTGTATTGTGGTAAATATAGCTTTTTTGTTCCAGAAAGTATTTCTATATGATTGAAGAATGACATCAGAAATATTCTTTCAAAAGTTGTGAAGTGAGGCAGTTTTTCTTCAATATTTTATTTTCTACAGAACTGGGCTCTGTGTTGCTATATTTAGCCAACTAGCTAAAACTGTGTAGTCTGAATGGGTGGGTTACATGTATCAAGTGATTTAGTTTCATTGTTATGTTTTAAATAAATAATATCACATAAATAGTATAATAATAATCATTAATAATAACAATAATTGTCCATTGTGGAATCGTTCTCTTCGAGAACCACACATGTTAATTTTCACTTTGCAAAAAATGGCACTGAACAGAACAATAAAAAAGAATCATTAATACCTCATCATTGACTATGAAAAACAATATCATAAAATAGATTTAAAATTAATTTTCTAGACATTTTTATGGAAAACAACCAGAATGCATAATATTTTGCTAGCAATTGTTTATACTGTAATGTTTAACATTCTGTGAGCAAATAAGGCAACTTTTCAATATTATATTTATAATAATAAAAATAATAATGTAACATAACCAAATATTGTCTACATGACTGTAGAAGGGCTGCACGCTGGAGCAGTTAGTGCTGTTGTCGCATGGCCTCTAGGTCACCATTCTGTCTTATTGTATATGGTTCAGCATCTCCACATTATCTCTATGATTACCTAGTTGCCAAGAGAAAATACCAAAATATACACATTTATATTTTTACACACATAATAAAATGTAAAATACAATATGTTATGATGTCATACTAATTAGAAATCAAGAATTTGAACCCACCCCAAATCAATTTTGATAATTTAATTTAGAGGAGTCCTGTATGATTTTTCTAATCACCTTCAAGTGTGTTTAACATACGTGTGTATGTGGGCTTGATGGGACCGATGGACCATGCAGACACACACACACACACACAGCAGCTGAGCTCAGCCCATTGACATCCCCTGACAGTTAAAAGCTCTCTGTGATGAGACTCAGCAGCAGCACAGCACTCAGACCACTGCCGGTCACATGACCTCAGAGGCAAACAGTGGCTGGTCAAAAAGTAACTAAATGCTTTTACTCAATCACTATAATGAATTTTTGTTTTCTATAGACAAACATTTAATGGTTCTTCTTCTGACGCCACCGCTCAAAAGACAAAACGAAACTTTTCAGATTAGGATCAAATGAACCAATCACAACCAATCAATTAAGTGGCTTTACCAAAATGCCTGATGGAGCGAGAGGCCTCGTGGATCAATACAAATGAATCAATAATCTACTGATACTCTGTGGCGCCAAGATGTGTCAGGCTTTCAGAGTAACAAGGACGATTAGGATTTAGGACGGTTGCGATCCCTGGTCCTAATGAAGATAGACTTGACTAACATTTACTTAATAGCACATGTGATTTATATGTCTCTTTTTCTGCTGCTACATTGCTAGTGTATGTGGCCCTTTGGCCCAGAGTCAATGTCTCTGTCATTGGTGTTGAACCCCAGGGTTCACCTCCTGGGGGAAGATAGAATCCCAGTTAGGGCAGTTGGTACCTTCCAGTGGACTCACCACCCACAGGAAGGTGTTTTGGGTGGTGGTCATGGAGACTGCTGCCTCCGTGACTTGGTAACGGATAAGCGGAGAAAAATGGATGGGTGGATGGCATTGCTAATGTTAGCATTAGGAGCAGTTTAACGAATGCTAATGAGAGTTCAGCATCAAACTTTGTTACTATTTTCATAAGTGAAGCTGGCGTAGTGTAGGAGTGTGTGAAGGCTGCCTTTTCCTGATTGTCAACTAAGGGGTGTTTATTCTAGTTCGGACCTCAAAATCCCGTCTGTCATTAAATCGTTCTCAGAGACATCGGTAAACAACACGAGGATTACGTAGACAGGGAGTCCCTGACTTACGTCGGAGTTACATTCGATTTTTAAGTTGGAACTGACTTTCTGTACATCAGTACCTTTGTCACTCACCTAGACTAACACAGTGATGACATCATAATCTAGGAGATAAAAACATCAGAAGAGTATGACTTACGCCTGAGAGCCATAATGAAGGGCAAAAAGTTGCAAGTGAATTTAGTACACTCCAATGTATAATGTAGAACTGTTAAAGGTAGACAAAAAGGGATTGGTTCTCTTATAAGAGATTATCTACTTTGATTTTACCCAGGAACACACTTCTGATGATGCAGCCGCCTCTCTTATGGATTTTTACAGGCTAATTAAGTTCGTACCGCTAGCGTTTAGTGACTTTTCTGGTAGGCTACTGTGTGTTATACTAGTAGCGTACGTCTGTCTGTGAATGGTCTGTGTTCATATATGTGCGTGGGGCGCGACAGAGAGAACGGTAGCTAAAGTTAAGGTCAGTTGTCTCCCTGTCATGTTGAAGCGTCAGTTGGTTATACAGGAGCTGTTAAAACTCTGTTTCTGTTCTGTTGTGGTCGGAGTGGCTGATAATAAAGACCCCAACTTCACTGTTTCTGTTTACCTCTGCTGTGGACAAGACCAAAGTGAAGGGAGTTAGCCTCGAAGCTAATGTTAGCCTTAGACCTGGAGCAGATCACTAAGTCTCCCCTGTTGCATTCCAACTACGGTCAGGGCGTCGAAGAAAAAATCTTTGTGTAAATTTTCCAATGTTACAGCATGGACACCTTCTATAGAGAAGTGCGGCCGATATATGTACAATTATTTTTTTTCTTTTTAAATTTAGTGGCTGCGTCTTATATTCAGGTGTGCTCAAAAGTCCGGAAATTACGGTACGTTTCACTAATCTAGCGAACAGTTCCTGTCATGATCAATAGCGGCCCTTTCAAATTATGCAACATCTTGTAAGACAAAACCAAAACGTTTGTCTCCCCAAAAAGAAACATTTTCCATGTAAAAGGGCGGGTGATGTCAAAGGTCAATTTAGGAACTGAGACTGCGCTTCAATTGGACAGGTGTGAATGGACGACGTCAATGACAGCTAGGATGTTGCCTGGGTTTTTAGGGTTTTGACTCGACACCAGTCAGGGAGGGAAGGTGAAGAGCTCTCGTCTGGGCTGTGTTGATTCTCTGGAGGGAGGAGTGTAACCACAGCAGTAACTGTCAGGGACTGGCTGGGCGTCGGCCTGGCTGGGCGAGCTGATAAACAGGAGAGGGAGAGGGAGGAAGAGGAGGGAGGGAAGGATGCCAAAGTAGATGAAAGATGTTGGGGGGGGGAGGTTTCACAGGAAGTCGGGCTCTTTTTTTTTTTTTTGATGGAGGATATCCTTGGCCGAGGAGCTAATGTTGTTTAGGTAGGGGGTCTAATTCCTGCACTGACCACCGTTTATCCCCCGCGGTCTCCCCTTCCATTCATACACCCCCTCCAGTGGTAGCAGTGGTGGGCCTGCTCTGATTTCTCCAAACTAGAATTAAATATAATCTATTATTTAACAGGAGAAACATGATCCGAAAGTCGTCTGCGTACGCGTGTGTTTTTGTCTGGGCGTGTGGTTTTTCTGCTGTGTCATTTCATACTTCACCACCGTCTCACAGCCCTTTGACTAAACCGAATTACGGTGTCAGTAATAGCTCTGTTTTTTTTACCTGACCTCTTGGATTAAAAGACCAAAAACCAAATGTCGGGTAATTAATGGCGAATTTAAAACTGTGCTGGGATGTACAGAGAATTCCCCAGAAATGTTAAACCATGGTTAAATCTGCTTTTTGAACTGCTGTTAACTGTCTTTCAAACAGTCACTGTTCATGAGGTCTTTTAAAAAATTCAAAAAAGAAATCAACTCTTCAGACCTGAGTGTTAAGTGTCTGAGGCAAGAACAAGAAGACGTTCAGTCTTTCTTTTCTCAGACGTGATGCTTTGATGAACTGTAAAAAACTGTCTGCCAAGGAAACAGTTATTTGGATGGTGAAAAGGCAACCACCGAAAAACTACAGTGATAAATGACAAGTGGTGGAGCGGAGGGCAAATTAAGGAATGATGAAATGGGTCTTCATCTTTATAGAACTTGGAAAAAAATGGCCGTATTTGTTTTGTTTAAGTGTTTGTCTTTATATATATATATATATATACACACAATATAGATATAGTATATTGTACATGTTTTTTTCTCTTATCCAAATGATGGAATCATAAGTATGGAAAAAGATACATAGTATAACCCAAAATTTAGTTTTAGATTTCATAGGATTTTACTCCATACTGTGCATCACAGCAAGAACAGACACTTTTTTTCTTCAATATTTGACAAAAGGAAATAGAATGAGATTATAATTGAAATGTTACAAAGTTGTGTACTGTACAATTAACTGCCAGTTTGTGGAAATACTGCAAAAGAAATCCACAAATTTATTAGAACTGATGCTGGTATTTTATTTTATTTTTCTCACCTGATTTCTATCTCTTACAAAAGTGAAGTGTCAGCTTAGGGCAGAGATCAGTCTTTCCCAGACTCATCAGCATTTTACTGACAAGACTCTATTTAATGGCTAATGGGTCTCTCTCCCCCTCTCTCTCCCTCTCTCTCCCTCTCTACCTCTATCTCTCTGCAGCTGTTAAAAAACTAAACAGGGAGAAGTTTCTCTCCAGCCATGCAAAAGGTAATCAATAATCCCATCATCCCTTCTTAATGACTGTCGGAAGACACGGAGAAACAAATATTGTATTATAAAGACATCACCAACAGGTGCAGAACCAGTCTGGGCATCAACAGAACCAGAACCAGGAGTTGGATTACATTTATTGTAATGTAAAAAAAGGAAAAAAACTAACAGTGTGATTTGAACTTCCTCCACAGGTGGAGGGACGGGTCACTCCGGTCAACCTTCCGTCCTCCAGGGGGCCCAGTGCCCCGGGGTCACCTGCTACTGGCATTGTGGTAAGAAAAACAAAATACACGCAGCACAAGGAAAATAACACAATAACCAGGGTTTTTCTGTGGAAGTTACATTCCGCAAAATGTGGGTCATGGCCCAAAAGTGGTCGCAAATATTTTCACATAATATATGTTTGAAAAAAAATTAAAAATCTAACAGTGTTTTAATGTGTCTGTGGCCCATCATTAGTTTATAATGTATTTATATTATTATTTTGGTGGAGTGCTTACTTCAAGGACAGTTGGATACAATTTTGAAATCTGTTACCTACATTCAGGTTTTTATTTTTTTTTACCATCCTCACTCTTTCAGCTCAGATTTCATGATGTCTGGCCTTTGTTATTTTTGGCTACAGACAGATGAAGGAAAAGAGTCTGTGAGCCCTGTGAGCACAATGTTAGTTCATCTTCCTTTAAGATAGAAACTGACCAACGTCCTCCCGGAGGCAGTCAGGGGAACTGCATGTTAACTACTGTATACTTCCCATGATTTTATCGTGAAAATGCAGAATCTCAAAATAAAAATATAAAATCATTATAATCTGATATTCTGACATTAAAAATGTAAAACTACTAGTACCTTAACTGAACTACTGTGTGTGTGTTCCGTTCAGGCCCGGTTGAATGACCAGGTTGTGGGCTACAGAGACCTGGCAGCTTTACCCAGAGACAAAGCTATTCTGCAGGTAGAGCGACCTGACCTGATGACCTACCAACCACACCTGAGCTTCTCATCACTGGACACTCCACGCAGAGAGGTGCACACACACACACACATTTGGTCCCTAAGTCTGTTTTCCTAATTTCTTTTGTTTTTGGTGAGATACATTATAGATAAGTCTTTAGGTAGGTCTCTAGTACAGGGGGTGCTCACAGGACATTCAGCCTTCTCTCTCTCTCTCGCTCGCTCTCTCTCTCTTTCACACACACACACACACACACACACACACTGAGTGATGGGCACAGTCACTAAAACACCTGTGGTAATAGAATAATATTTTCACTGTGACTTTATTTTTGTCTGTGTGTCAGGGACGGTGAAAACATTAGACTTGTTGTTGCTGATTTATGAATCAGTGTTTTTACACAACAGAGTGAAGCTAACGCTCGTTAATGTCGTGTTTGTGTCGTTCTACAGAGATCTCTCTTTTCTCCGTCCTTATCTCCGAGCATGTCTCCTGAGGTAAGAGCCAATTTCATAAGAACTCACTTTAGCGTACTTATAATTACCAGTGTTTTTGTTTTGTTCGTTTTTCAGCGAACTATTAGCAATTACAGTGGTTTTGGCTAACTGTCTGACCTAATTTTGGGCTGGCTTGGTTATTGCTTTGCTAATTTTTAGATGATTTAGAGGAAACTTCTGGGGAAAAATAATAACAGAAGAATGAATTTTCATTTTTTGTATTTAACATTTCAGTATGTAAATGTTTTTTGGTTTTTTTCTTTTAAGCTTTTTTGACACAGAATCTTTCATGTTAATTGTAAGTCTGGGTTAACATTAATGTATTATTCAGCTAGCCTAACTTTACTGTAGCTATTCATTTGCTAACCTTAAGTTATCATGTGGTTACAAATTGATTATGAGCTAAATGTAATTTCTCCCTTTCAATTAATTACGGTAAACTATTTTCTAAAACAAACACCTGTTAGCTGTTTTTAAAATGTTGTGCTAACCATTAGCTGTGTACGTAAAGTGCTAAGCATTTGCCTCTTTGTGGCTCATATACAGTATACACAGTTTTGCGTTAGACTTAAAGTAACATTCCGTGTTTTTGTGTGTAATATTCAAGTCTAGGCAGACGTGTTCTTTGCAGCTTTTGGAAAAGTTGACCACCGTAGAGCCAGACTTTAAAAAAACCGTCTGGTTGATGGACTTCCTAGTTGTTGTCAGGCTGCCGAGTTTGAATCGCAGCTTTGTGCTTTTAGAAATGTGACATTTGAAAACAGAAGACGTCTGTGTTCTGATGCCTGGACGTCAGATTTGATTTTTTGATTTCACTCAGCAGCTGGATTAAAGCAGATTATACATTTTACACTGAGAATCTTAGTCATGAGCAAAACAAGAGCCGATGATGTCACCACCCGACTGAAAATAAAAGATAAAAGTGAGGGAATGAAATCTGTTGACTGTTGTCCTCCTGATAAATATCCTGCAGTGCAGAGTGACCTTACTGCAATATCTGGGTTGTCTCCGCACAGCGTAAAAATAAACGCAATTAGAAATGAGACCAAATAAAAGGGTCTGGTTTAGGTTATATTTAACGGGGTCATTAAACCAGATTAAACCAGATCCAAATGAAATCTAAAAAAATTAAACCCCAAACACCGGTGAGTTCTCCTGTGGTGTAAAATTAAACCTCAAACACCGGTGAGTTCTCCTGTGGTGTCACCACTTTGACAAACGTGTGCTGTGAGAACAGGTCATTACAGACACGGCTCTTTAATTCACACCAACACAGAAGTGTTAATGAACCAACATGTCCACAAGTTTCAACGGGCACTCGTTTTTTTTTTTTTAGACGGTTTTCCCACCCTCTATATCCTCATCAATCAAAGGAGGATGAATCTGAATTTTTTTGTGTTTTTTTTGTGTGCTAACCCTTGATCCATTTTTGTAATATTTCTAGCTACACTGGACTAAGTTCTAGATTAGTCTAGAGTAATAAAGAGTCTATGGCAGTGTTTGCTACATGTCTTACTAAAAGTTACATCTTTGTCTTCTGGCTGTTTATAAATTTTACGTTAAGCTACGTCTGTGCCAATGTTTGTTTATTCTCCGAGGGAGTCAACAGTCTTAAAAAAAAAAAAAAAAAAAGAGATGTTATTATTTGGTGCTCAGTGTGTGTATGTCTGCGGGTGTGTGTGTGTTCAGGTGAAAGGACGTAGAGCGGAGAGTGACAGTGGTTCACCTGGAGGATCTTCACTGCAGTTAAACGCAGGACGGAAGATCAGCACCAGCCTGCAGCATTTCCACCGCCCAGGTACACTGTACCCCCAACCCACTGTACCCCCAACCCACACGAACCCACACATACATTTACACAAAAGCAGAACGGGTGGGTAGCAAAGACAGTACGGGGGTCCTCGGTTTACAGCGTCCTCCACATACAGCGTTTCGTGGTTATGTCACATCTCCTTGCGAAGAGTTAAAACTAGCCAACTGGAGTGAACGAGAGCTATATGTCGAGCAGAGCAGACGAGTTCGTCATCACACGGAGCTATACGCTTTGTTAGCCTTGTAATTGTGCTACATTAGCTTTCCTTTGTTTGTGTTGTTTATGTGGGAACTTTCTGCCCTTCGTTTTGGCTCGCAGGTGTAACTCATCTCTTCTGATGTTTTTATGTCCTGGATTATGATGTCGCCACTGTTAGTGTAGGTGAGTGACATAGATACTTATATACAGTACATGAGTTCTAACTTACGTTATGCACACCGTAGGAAAGGAACTCCGATGTTAGTCCAGGAACTCCTGTATTCAGATTACAGATGGACATTAAAAATTAAGTTAATTCTTACCACAGCATTTTTCTGCTTCATTTGTCCCACTTATCGAAATTAGACTGTTTTTTTTTGTTGTTTTTTTTGTTAAATGTGTATAGCGGTTTTGTAGGAGTAAGCCATACAAATTAACACCAGTAAAGTCCTGAAGCAAAAACTGGGAAATAATTGTGGAGCGAAGAGGCTCCTCAACGGTCTAACCTACAAAGGGGCACGCTGCAGCAACAGTTTGTGAACCCCTACACGTAGAGTCACTCCCAAAAACACTTGACCATGAAGGAATGCAGTCAAACACTGACTCTCTTGGGCTTGTTTGTTTAAAAGAATATTTTTTCCTCTCTCAGAAAATGGATCCAACATCTACAGGAAACCTCCCATCTACAAACAGGGTGAGCTTTTATCTGCTTTTTACCCGTGTGTCTCGTGTATTTCCTCTCCTGTCACCGCTGGGGACACTTCCTGTTGTCCATCCCTGCAGATGCGAGTAAACCCCAGGAGGACACTGGGGTCATCAGCTCTGCCAAATTTCCAGCAGCTCAGCCTCCGGATCCGAACCAGCCGTCCAAGATAGAGACGGAATACTGGCCCTGTCCACCGTCACTGGCTGCTATGGGTAAAACACAGGCACACAAGTACATATACACACAGCCATACACTACATACTGTAGTATTTATATATATATATTCTGTTATTTCACAGAGATCGAGTGGAGGAAGAAGAAGCTGCAAGAGGAAGATGAGTTTGAAGATCTGACTGAAGAAGCAAAGACGCTTCAAGAGCAGGAGCTGGAGAAGGTGAGATGTGTCCAAGTCACTAGTGAAGTGGGAAATGTGTCCAAGTCACTAGTGAAGTGGGACTTGTGTCCAAGTGACTAGTGAAGTGGGACTTGTGTCCAAGTGACTAGTGAAGTGGGAAATGTGTCCAAGTCACTAGTGAAGTGGGACTTGTGCCCACGTCACTAGTGAAGTGGGAAATGTGTCCAAGTCACTAGTGAAGTGGGAAATGTGTCCAAGTCACTAGTGAAGTGGGACTTGTGTCAAAGTCACTAGTGAAGCTAGTGAAGTGGAACACGTCCACGATTCATGCTGAAGTCTTGACCTGGTACAGACTTTAGCGTTGACTCTGGTATTACATCTTAAGATGAAGACTGACTTTTAGGACTTGTCTCGACCTGACTTGGTCTCTGATTTGAGCAACTCTTTGATCATTCAGTCCAGGTTCTGACTCCTGTATGAATTCTAATGACTAGGACCTGGACCTAGAAGATCAATTACACTTGGACCTGAGTATCGATGACTTAACTTTGATTCTTGACATTATTGATTTCCAGAACTTGTGGTTAAGTCAGATGAATTTCAGAGACAGAGGGACCTTAACTCTAGTCACTACTATACCTGAAGCTGATTTAGCCGATTCGTGGAAATATAGTAAAATCTGATGATTCAGTTGTGACTCGTGTGAACTAGATAACTTTAGGGAATGACTCACAGAAACCTGAGTCAACTGGGTTTACAATCCTGCCGTTTTACTGATCTTGTAATTTGACTTGATCATTAATTGACACACAGGTGACAAACTTGGTTCCAGGTCTCGAGACTTGAACTTGACTCAGACTGATTTGACTAACAGTGGTGGCTTGTACTTGAACAATGAAGACCTGGACTTGGACTTGACTAGAGTTTTGTAGACCAAACAGTATTTGATAATTAAGACCTTGACATCGTCCTGTGTCTTGGATCCAGATCAAGTCAAATCTGGGTCGAATGATCCTGAAGGAGGAGAAGGAGAAAGACATTCACTTCAGGAGGAAGACACAGTCACTGCCCGACAGAACGCACATGCACACGAGTGAGATCACGAGTCACAATAACATCTCTGGTGATGAACCCTAATACATGGATAGCTGATGTCCTTCCCGCCCACAGGTTTGTCTGCTGGTGCTTCTAAATCTCCGTCCCATTCAGGCTCAGGTTTGACCAGGGTAAGTTTCACAGAAGGGGGCCAGGCCAAGAAAAATAGTACCAGTGGTTTCAGGTTCTCCTTTCATGGGTGCTAAATTGTAAGTGACACAGCATGAAGTGCAAGCAAAAAATCTGAGATGCAACAAAGAAGCTTTAGGTTCACACTACAGCTGGAGGCAACCCCAGCATTTAGAGGACAAGGATGGAGTGATGTTAGTTTTGGCCTGGTCATAAGTCAAAGAGGAGTGTAAATGTTTGAACCAGCTGATGATTGAAATGATGGAGTGTGTTTTCTCAGATGCAGTCGGCAGAGTTTTCCACAGAGGCAGAGAAAGGCCGCTCTGGTAGGAATATTTCCCAGAATTCCATAGTTTTCATTTAATGACTGTTGGATGTTAGCTTCAGGACCCAGCATGGTATTTAAGGAATGAACTGTGCCATAAATAAAATGGAGAATTCACATTTCTGGACAATTAGGATTTTTTATATGATTTATTAGTTCTATTCTGTAGAAAAGTCTCACTTCCATGACTAAAAAGTCAAATTCTGTGGAAAAAAAATTCAGATTCGAAGAAAAGTAAGGTTTAAGTTAACCTAAAATTCTGATTAAATCACAAATGTTCTTAACAGTTTTTCTCACAGAATTCTGAAAAAATAAAAAATAGAATAGAAAAAAATAATAAAAGAAATATGTATGTATATTTTGGGGGGAATTTTTTTTTACAAGACCCTGATGTTCAGAGATAGAACATTTACAGCCTCAAACTTCAATTCTTCTTTTGTCTCCATTCTTTCTTTCCCTTCTACTTCCTGTTCCCGTTGCATCATCATCGTTTTGTCATCCTGGTCCCACAGATGCTCAGGTAGGACTGTTCTTGTCTCTCATTTCTGCCGAGTAACATTATATGAAAGTCAAAAAATTCTAAAACGATTAAAAGTGTAAAAACTCTTTATCACTGGCGTTTCCTTCTTTGTACAATTTTGGATTTTTTTAAAATCATAACATGAACCTTTTGCTAGGTTTAAATAATTCAAACTGGTTTCCTTTAATGTCTGGATAAAAATACTGACTGGTATTTCCTCTCTGCCTTCTGCCTGATCCTGTTCTCATTCTCTAGCAGTTGATTTCCATGTATTCGTATTTGTGTGTTTTTGCAGAACGGCGATGCTCGCAGGGACAGAATGGACAGAGGAAACTCTCTGCCCAGTATCCTGGAGCAGAAGGTAGAGCAACATCTGATCAATAACATTAATGATTGATGATCAGGAGCCAAGCAGTTAAGGGATATTGTTTTCTCGTTTTTTTTTTTGTTCTCAGATTTACCCATATGAAGCTCTGATAGTGACCCACAGGGGGCGCTGTAAGCTGCCACCAGGAGTGGACCGAACTCGCCTGGAGGTCTGTATCAACTGTTCCTAATAAAATGTTCTTGTATTTTAATGCTGCTTTTTTCTGTTATTATACCCATACTCTCCAGCTCCTCCTGCTCCTCCTTCGTTTTCTCTTTTCTTTAATTCCTTTTTTTTTCTCCCTCCTCTTCTCAGCGACACCTGGCTCCTGAGGACTTTCAGCGACTCTTTGGGATGACCCCAGCTGAATTTGACCGTCTCTCTCTGTGGAAACGAAATGAACTGAAGAAAAGAGTCTCACTTTTCTAACAGGAAGTGAGGTCGTTACCACAAGATACTTGATAAACGTCCGAGGAGAGAAAGAAGGAGACGGAATAGAAGAAGGTGAAAAATAAATTAGGCCTTTAAACTGCAGATATAATAACACTCATCACATCAGTCCATTGTCCAACTAACCAATCAAATCCTTGGATCACAGTAGGCCCCGCCCACAGGATCAGAGCACTTCCTGTTCCTGATTAAAGAAAGTGTCACTCTAACATCCAAAAACACTGAGCCTCACCACCGCCTCAGTCACATGAAACAGAGAAATAAGGAGACGGAATAGAAGAAGGTGAAAAATAAATTAGGCCTTTAAACTGCAGATATAATAACACTCATCACATCAGTCCATTGTCCAACTAACCAATCAAATCCTTGGATCACAGTAGGCCCCGCCCACAGGATCAGAGCACTTCCTGTTCCTGATTAAAGAAAGTGTCACTCTAACATCCAAAAACACTGAGCCTCACCACCGCCTCAGTCACATGACCTCATTTACTAGGTCACCTGACATAGAGCCATTTGTTTGGACATGTTGGTCTGCTGCTGAGCCGTGCTTTTATTCTGAAGATATTCTTTCCGCTGTACGTAAATGTTTATATTTAAAAGTTATTTATTGTTTGAAAAGTCAGCTCACTGATGACATCATCACTCACTAACATTATGCATTATGCAGTTGATACTAATCTGCAGCACAGCATCTGTATCTGCTTTGTTCTGGTGACGCCCTCATAACTTCACTTCCTGTTTCCGTTTGTGTCAAATAATCGGAAAATAAAGGAGTTCATCAAATGATTATCGTGTAATTTTCTTTATTTTCATAAATCTTCAAGAACTCCTCATTTAAATTTTTTAATTTAGGTTTTCAAAAAAATTAAATTAAAAAAAGTGATCAAAAGAAATGTGAAGTAACAGTAACGAGAGTATAGAAAAGTTTTAAAAGCAACTAAAGTATAATTGAGAATACATTTAACAAAATGACAAATAATTAAAGAAAATATAAAATTTAATCCCCTCCAACACCTTACATAATTCTAACCCTGACCCCGACTCTGACCCTAATGTAAGTCATAAACCAGTGTTCAAAAACTGCCAAAAAACGATCCATAATAAAATAAAGGTAAAACTAAATGATCAAAAACATACATTTAATAAAAAATTAAATAAGCATTAAAACAATAATCAAAATATTTGCAATACAAAAATAAAAATATAATTTAAACATAATACATTTAGAATTGATTGCAACATACAGTAATTAAAAAGAAAATATATTTTATAATAATAAAAATAATTATTATTTTATATAATGTATAAAAAATTTATAAAATGTATAAAATATGAAAAATTAAACATTAAAAATAAATTATATAAATAAAAATGAGAACAAAATAAAATGTAATAAATGCAATTTTCAAAATAAAAATTACAAAATAAAACAAAGAATTTAAATTAAAATTAAATAAATTAAATGGAAACCATAACTCTAATACTGACCCCTTACTTATTTAAAATTAATTTAATTAAAATTACAATTTGACTGCCCATGCCAAGGTCTAAATTAACTTCATTGAATTAATACATGTATGCATTTAAAACTCTAAATGTAGAAAAAATATACATACATGTTTGAAGTTGATAAATATGTCCTCTAAATGCCAGCATTTGGCTGTTAAAAATAAAAACTAAAAACATTTGTAGATATACTGTATGTATAATAATACATATACATTTTACAATATATAGTTGTAAATAAAAAAGTAGTACTTATTAATGCAATGTATACATACAATATAATATATAAAACTGAGGAAGAGAAGATGAGAAAACTAAAATAATGAACTGAGTCTCACTGCTTCAACTCTGGACTGGAAAACATCAAGATGGCTGAAGCTCCAATCTTCAACCGGTTTGGTGTCACAGCCACTCTGAGAAAGTCACCACGCTGACTGTGAGCCAACAGTCACAACGACCTGTGAGGTGCGTGTTCAACCTGAGGTCTAAGGCACAGGTTTGTAAAAGCCTGCAGCTGCACCTTTGACCCACATGTGATCTTTCCTTATCTCGTATATCCAACATTACATAACCATAGACTCCTCCTCCTTCTCTTTCTGCAGAGGGAGGTGCCAACTGTGACTGTCTGAAGCTGGATGGCGTTCAGGCAAGTGGAATTCTACATATATTAGCCAACAGATGGCAACAAAGGACAGATTATGTTACGTTAGGGCATCTCAGCTCACGTGTTTTGACTTTGGGATATGACTTTTTCATGCATTTTCCCTGAAGTCATTCTGTCATTTTTAATATCTGGGTGTCATATCTTAGGCAGAATATGTATACAGTGCATTACTACCTTAAAATATTTAAAGACACCATTATTAACAACATCACTGCAGTAAAGGCCTCCCCGATTCAGTTAATTGCTTCCTTCGGTGACCACAATGGTAGGCTGAACGAGGTCCCACCTACCACTAGAGGGAGACAACGTATCACAAACTTTGTTTGTTTAGCAACCCTTTTTATCACTTACTTTTGTCACTTGTCACTGCCACTGGGAAATGATTCATAATGGTGTCTTTAATATATATATATACATATTTATATATGCATATATATATATATACTATTTTTTATTATATATGTAATGTCTAGGTAAACTGCATGTTGTAATAAGTATGCAGTCTGACAGGATCAATTGTTTGGTAAAAACACAGTTTTACATATGAAAACTGCAGAATAATATTTAAAATAATACTGGGTCAGAATAGGGACAAAAATAGATTTATTTTCCTGTATAAAACAAACAAAAAAAAAGGTTTGTGGATTTGAACAACTCCCTAGCTTTATTTATTTTCAATTCTACTTAACTCCCTGTTTCCCCTTTGAGTCACAATGAACTTTTAATTCTGTCACATGTTCCCAGACACCACAAAGCAGCTGCAGAGACCGTGAGCCGTCTGGGTTCGAAAGAGAGAAAATAACCTTGAACAAAAAAACAAAAGAAGCTAACTCGGCGCTCACATGAATCCTCCACACTAACTACTTATTATGTTTCCCTCAGATGGCCAGTCAAAGTATTTGGCTGAGAGAAAAGGTGAACACCTGTAAATCTTTTTTTTTAAGAAACCACACATGAGGCTGACTGTTCTGCGTCCCCGTCTGTTTACTTCCATCGCCCAGACGGTGATTAACATTTTTCGAGGTTGCCTCAGAAATACATGCCGAGGCGAGATGTGGTGAAGTGTTTGTGGTGCTGGTGTCAGTGAAAGTTTAATTGTAGGTTGTGCAATCAGCAGGTTTGGGAACAGAGCCAGTCAGAGCCAGTTTAGTCTAGATTTAAATAGTGGCCCAAACACACACACACACCTCCAGGTCAAATTCTAAAACGAGAACATCCAGGAGTTTCCTTATACATATATTCTCTCCTATCGTGGTAGTTGCGTTCCAAAACCCACCGCGAAAAGGGAAAATCCGCGAAGTAGAAGCGAGACAGTTATTTTATGATTTCCGTATATATTTAGCTTTTACGAACCTCCCCCGCACTGTTATCAACCCTCCCTAGACTGTATGCATATTACGTAACTAAATTAAATACACGACGAGGTTAGCGCTCAGCTGCAGGAAGTAAAGTACGGGAGTGGTGACGCAGGTGAGCGCAGTTGGAGTAATCAAGCCTCTCCTTGTGTCAGTAGGAGCCGGGACCAAGGAGAGAGAGGAGTGGATAGAGGAGTGGATACTTAATATTGTAAAGAAAAACAATGTTAACTGTTAACTGTCAGCTGTGTCAGCGTCTTGGTTTGGGAGGCGTAACAGACGCCCGAGAAGATGATCAGAGCGTTTAGGAGGCATGGTAGGGCGTTAAATTCGGGTGAACTTTCACCAAACACAAGAGCACAAACTTTACAGCAACGTAGCATATAACAGCTGACAGCCCGGAGGAGGTGCTAACACAGTGGTTCTCAAACGTTTTCTACTCTGTACCACCTGAGAAAACATTGATCTCTCAGAGTGCCACCATGATGACCAACATTAGAATACAGCAGCATAGGTCCTTCCCTGTTAGCTCCCCCCACAGGAGAGAGGTTTATAAAGATGTTTATGTTTAAATGTTGTTTTAATTGTACATGGTATGCTTCAGATTTATTCAATTGAAAATGTAAATGTCAAAATATGAATTTTCCTAGTGTACCAATAGAGAGCGCTCACGTACCCCCGGTGGTACGCGTACCACAGTTTGAGAACCACTGTGCTAATAGATGATACGATACATGAGTCAATCAGCATGAAGAACAAAAGAGCTCTAGGTATTTTTTTGTTAAAATTTACTGTGATAAAAAATTTTTTATCACAAAAATATTAGAAACTTTGTAATTTTGCTAAATATTTACTATGATAAAAAAAAATTATCACAAAAATATTAGAAACTTTGTAAAAAAATATTTACCGTAAAATACTGCAATATAGCGAAACTGCGAGATTGGAATAAAAAATCCGTAATGTACTGAGGGAGCGAAAGGAAAATCGTGAAGTAGCCAGGGACCGCTGTATATACCCTTTGACATACAGTGCAAAAGCGCTGTGCTGTCATCATAAAAAATAAAGCTTAGCATTTTCTCTATGGAACAAAGTATAATTTCAAAATAGAAATTTATTTTATTGCATTTTATGACAACTCTCTCATTACCGCAATGTGTACAGATTTTTCTGACTCTATGATATGTTGTCATAAAACAAATATATCTTATAAAATAAAAATAAAGGATGTTCTAATGGATGTTTTTAAGGAACTAAAATAATAAAAAAATACTAATACATTTTTTAGGTTTAATAATAATTAAAAATAGGAAAAAATAAGTGTCCACGACTCAAGTCCTCATCCTCCGAAAACAATTTGAATGACGTTTTACACATGGAAAGAAGACTTTTAATAAAGTAATTTTTTTTTATAATGCAACATATGTGTCAGAGCTTACAAGACCGCTGACAGGTAAGAAGAACTCTTTTTCCTTCCATGTTAAAAGTTAAACTTTCTCATGTAAGACTGCAAATATGACAGTATGATTATCATTACTGATCATCATCATGGCTTCTCTGTTGGTATAGCAAAACATGCTGTTAATTAACATCAACAATTTTAGATATGATTGTTTTTGGAGTTTTTAGCACAAAATATTCATTTGGCAGCATATTTTGGGTCATAAACTTTTTGGGACTTTTATTTTTATGGATTTTGTCAC